TTCCCCATGAGTTTAGATGGAGTATCAGCTGTTTCTGCATAGTTCTCCAGAGCGGGGGAAGGTGCAGAGACCTGGCCCCAGCAGCTCCAGCGTGGGGAGGCCCCACTTCCAGGGCTGCCAGCAGTCACTGTGATGACTGACAGGTAGCAGGTGCTCAGTTAATGCGCCCCTTCCTCCTGCTCACTTCCCTCCTGTTCCCCCTGCCCCCCTCGTCTTTCTTTCAAGGGCCTGTTTGCCTCTAGGAGATTTTCATCAACCAACCACAAATATTTACTCAACACGGCAGGCAGCACATGAGCTCCACGGGGCAGGGGGCTCTCGGTCCCATTTGCTGCATGTTCCCCATCTGAATAGGGCCTGGCATGCAGTAGGTGCTCAATAAAGGCTTGGTTGGCAGTCACATCCTGAGACAGGGTAGTCTCTGCTCCCAGATAACTTACACTCCTGCTGCCTTCAGAAAACATCCTGAGGGGCTGGGCGCGGTGGCTCACTCCTGTAATCCCAGCACTTTGGGAGGCTTAGGCGGGCGGATCATTGAGGTTGGGAGTTCAAAACCAGCCTGGCCAACATGGAGAAACCCTATCTCTAGTAAAAATACAAAAATTAGCTGGTCGTGGTGGCACACGCCTGTATACCCAGCTACTTGGGAGGCTGAGGCAAGAGAATCGCTTGAACCTGGGAGGCGGAAGCTGCCAAGATCACCTCACTGTACACCAGCCTGGGCGACAGAGCGAGACTCCATCAAAAAAAAAAAAGAAAACGAAGCCGGGCGCGGTGGCTCACGCCTGTAATCCCAGCACTTTGGGAGGCCAAGGTGGGCAGATCACAAGGTCAGGAGATCAAGACCATCCTGGCTAATATAGTGAAACCCCGTCTCTACTAAAAATACAAAAAATTAGCCGGGCGTGGTGACGGGCGCCTGTAGTCCCAGCTACTTGGGAGGCTGAGGCAGGAGAATGGCGTGAACCCGGGAGGCGGAGCTTGCAGTGAGCCGAGGTCGCGCCATTGCACTCCAGTCTGGGCGACAGAGCAAGACTCCGTCTTAAAAAAAAAAAGAAAAGAAAACGTCCCGAGGGTCTTTGAGGGATCACAGAGTCCCCACACGTGGGTGGGGTGAGGGTCTTAAAGTCTGCCCTCCCCGTCACTCTGAGCTATGGCCAAGCTGGGTGTAACACTGGAGAGAGTCAGGGTGTCCTCACTCGCTTCAGGCAGCTGGCCCCCATTTCCCTCTGCAGTGCCTGGGGCGGGGGTGACAGGCAGCATTTAGACCCGCGGCTCCCTGCGCAGGGACCTCCTGGGGCACTCGCCTGCATCACAAGAATAAAAATGATAAAAACCTGCCACTGAATTCTGGGTGGCAGTAAATTACTTAACACCTGAAACAGGTTGAAATGTGGCCACCGTGGTTTTAATAAGCCCATCTCCGATGCAGTGCTTCCTTGAGGGGCCGGCCGGGTCTCTTCTCGAGGCATAATTTCATCTCGTCCCAGGCTTGGCAGCATTGCAAATAAGATTTCACTTCCCCTGTAAATCTCCGACGGGGGGAGTGCAGGATTTCATTTGTGCTGTCAGTTAGCACTCCAGAGAGCCTGTTTACTTTGCCGCAGGAGGAGAAGGTCCTCCGGAGGTGCTGGACAGGGTGGCAGGTGGGGAGGCGGGGAGGTAGCAGCATGAGTGGGGGCCCTGGAAGCACGCTTTATTTGGGGTGCCTGAAAGTGGATGAGCCAATGTCAGAACCACGGAGGCAGAATTTCAGGGCCGGCTGGGAGCCCTCCCATGCGTCCGGGACCCTCCTAGGCTGGGTGATAAGACTCAGCCGCAGAACTTGGGTGTGGGGGTGTGGCCTGGGGTGTTAGACCCCTCCCGGGTTTGGACGCCTCTTCTCCAGGATGCTCGGTGAGGCCAGAGACTCCTCCTGGGAAGTAGGGGCAGGAGAAGGGAAGCTTCCAGAACCCAGTGGTAGCCAGGTAAGGGCAGTTTCCAGGTACAGGAAAGCAGCCATGGAGGGGTAAGGTATCACCCACTCTTTCTCCCGTTTGAGCAGAACTTTTAGTCCTGAGTCTGACAAAACAGATGAAGTCAGATACACAAAGCTGGAGCCCTGGGACTTGAGGTGCCGCAGGGCAGCCATTCGGGGGTATTACCCACACGTGCCCCTAATCTCAGGGATAATGTAAGTCCTGAGAGATTTGTGGGGAAAGAAAGGGCCCAAAGTGGCTTGGCTGGCGGGTGGCATGGTGGGGGCTGTAGCAGTGGTGGGGGGCAGGTTTCTCGGGGGACCACCCCATCTCCTGGCATCCAGCTGAAGACGTGGTATCAGGGCTATTTGGGGCCAGCAGGTCCCCTGCAGGGCCTTTGAGGCACTGGCCAGCCCTGCTTGCTCTCCTGTAGGGACGGGAGGCTCACTGCCCCTCCGACCACCCAGTCCTCTTCAGAACAGGTTATGTTTGGAGGGTTTTCCTTCCATTCCTGAAACACAGGTCCTGGCAATTCCCTCCTGTGCGGCCCAAACCCGGCTGGGCCTCCAACTCCCCTGGGGGACATATTAAAACCTGAGATGTCCCCCACACCTACCCCCCGTCCTGAAGCCTCAGGCTGCAGCCAGCCTGTCATCCTCTTCAGCAGGCTGTGGACCTGGGAGAGCTGGGGGTGGTTTGGGGAACAGGCCCCACCCTGTACGGATGCCTCTCTGTGCTGGACCTGGGGGCACTTTGCTGCCTGGCTCCGAAGGTCCTGCCAAGAACCTGGGCCTCCCTGCAAGAAGTGCCAACCAGCTCAGCACCTGGTTCCATCCCTGGGGGCCAGGAATGTGGGAGAAACCCCCCAGGAAGCTGTGCTGGGGGTGGGGGAGGCCTGCACTCCCCAGACAAACTGTAGGCAACACGGCCTCCCATGCCCTCTCACAGAGGCTCCGTCACAGCCGTGGGGTCGGTGCGGATGGTTTCTGAGCTGGGCACTCCCAGTGGCTTTACCTGTGTCGGCCCCCCTCACCCTCCCAACAGCAGTCGGAGATGGAGTTGTTATCATGTACACACGGACGTGGAAACTGAGGCACAGAGAGGATGAGTAGCACAGATGGAAACTGGTGGAGCCCACGGGTCTAACCCAGTACCCAGGGACTCCAAGGCCCCGCCCCAGGAGGGCAATGGTGTTAATCCAGTGGTTCCCAAAGGCCTGTGACCGGGAACCCTTTCTGGGCAACACCTCTGTTAGCTCCAGGGACTGAGGAACACAGTATGAGAACACAGCCCTTCTTCCCTGGCTTCAAGGGCTCCGTAGGAGTCCCCAGATTTGTGGCGCTGCCACACATGGGGAGGGTGAGGTAAAGCCGGGAGCAGGACTTCCTGGGGGAAGGGTGGGTTCCCTGGGGTTGGCAAGGGCTGTGGTGCTTGGAGAGTCATCCTCCTTGTACTCACATGGATCCAGGAGCAATTGGCCGATTGATTTACTGTTTATTGACTCACTCTTCATTCCTGTTTACGGGGCCTCCTGGTGCCAGAGCAGTGCCCTCTGGGGATCTGGAGGTGTGGAGGGTAAGACCTGCCAGTCTGGGCCCACCCGAGCGAGGCGCTGGAAGGGGTCACCTGTGCAGGTGAGAAAGGACAGCAGAGGCACGGGGCCAGGGCGGGACAGCCAAGGAAACTAGCGCAGCATAGACCTGGAGTCTGAGCCACACTGGGCCTGGGCGGCGTCAGGTGTGGTGGGCAGAGGGTGAAGCTGCACTGGGGCTGGAGTCTGAGCGGGGCAACGGGGAGATGGGGGGACACAGGGCCTTCCTGAGTGGGGCGCAGAAGCGGACCTGCCCTCCTGTGTGCCTCAGGCAGGCGGCGTGCCAGGCCTTCCCCGTTGCCTCCTAGTCCTCCTCATCCATGGAAGCGTCCTCTGTGGAAACCTGGTTCCCCACAGAGCCTCCCCAGCCCCACCCAGGCTAGGCCCCCACTCAGCCACGGAAATTCCTCCCCACTCCTCCATGAGGCAGGAATATACCAGCCCCAGCGCATAGTAGGCCCTCAGTCAATATCTCCTGGCTGGCTGACTGACTGTGTTCCAGAAAGAGCCCTCGGCAGCCCCAGAGAATGGGTCTCAGGTGAGGGAGTGGGCACCTTTCTTGGGCACCCACTGTGCGCTGGGTCTGAGGGGGAAGTTGGAAGAACAGCCTGGGTCCTTTCCCGGGTGGTCACACTGTGTGTGCCACACTTTAGAGTGGTCTCTTTTGGGCTGCTCCTGCCCCGGCAGGATAGGAGGTGAGGATGGAGGAGGAAGGTGGCGCATAGAGCACCTGTGGGGCCCGCGTAACCCCACCCAGGGCCACCCGCCACCAAGAATTAACTTTGCTTCTTTGGAATATAAGGAAAAACCCGTTAACTGTATCCAGACATGAAATCAGATCTCAGGCAGAAGTAATGAGTTCTTGTTTTATGTTAAATTTAGCAGAAACTGCTATTGTTCTCATGGAAATTTTGTTCCTTCCCGTCCCCCTCCCTTTGGGGTGTGAGAGAGGCAGATGAGGCTCCAGAGCTGAGTGTAATGGGCACATCTAGGGGATGGGGGCGTTTGGGGTGGTGGCATAAGTTCATGTCCCCAAACACCCGGACAGTCCCACTTTTAGCCGGGAGCCACTTGGTTGCTGGAGCCTCTTCCAGGATAACCCACAGCTCCTGCTGACACATACTTCTCCATGTAGAGACCCTCTCAGAGTCTGCGTTCAGCTCTGGGTCCCCTCATGGTGACTCAGGTGTCAGTAGACCTCTGGGGCCTGTGGGTGGGGACAGAGGGCCCTTCTTCCTGCAGCGGAATCATTTTGGTTGGGACAGTGCCAGAGCGAACAGTCTCTATCCTGCCCAGCCACCACCTCTGAGCCAGGGCACCCCAAGAACGGAGCTGACCCTCGGGGGCAAGGCCTGGGGAGGGGTGTGGGCCGCTGAGACCGCATGTGCCCCGGACACCTGGCCCCTGGCCCGTTGGGGTGCCAAGCCGAGAGTCAGCAGCAGAGATGACTGTAAAAGTTAAATCTTTCTATTTATTTCAAGAAAGAACAAGGCAAGTGGACTTGGACATTTTCTATGAAAACAGACAAACAGAAAATATGACCAAGTAGTTAATCACATTCATCTCAACATTGAAGTTTCAAGGCACCTACAAGGAGGAGGCCAAAGGGCGGTTCGCAGTGCACTTTGGTTTGTGTTGTTGTCCTGGTGGTGGGTGTTTGGGCCAGGTCAGCCATCCAGTCGCATGGCAGTGGGCAGTAGCTGGGGTGGTCAGGCCCGTCACTCAGGCCCCTGAGACCGCTTCCAAGAAAAAGAAAGGAGACAGTGCTGTACCCGGGCGACTGATTCTGCAGGTGAGGAAGGCTGGGGGGCTTGGGAAATGGGGGTACCGGCTCAGGAGCCCCTTCGACATCAGACGGGATCTTGGTCACAGGCTTGGGAGAGATCAGGCCTGCTCCCCAGACCCAGGCTTCCTGCCTTCTGTAGAGCAGAAGAAGGACCCACCCCATTCGCTAGGGGCTGGCCAAGGACCCCTCCCTGGTCCCCTCCTCCTCTTCAGACCACCGGGAAGGGGACGATGCTGTGTGCCACTCCAGAATGCTTTACGACGCTACATGAGATACAAATAACCTGTTAACATCTGGAAAGGGAATTACTGTTGGTGGCTCTTAAGACATTCCTCTGCCGTGTTTATAGGGGGTGCGGGCTCTTTTAGACAACTTTCATCTTTGGCCTCCCTGTTCACACTTGCCTCCTGGCTCCAGCCAGCAGAATCCCACAAGTGCCCCTCTCTCTGGCTAGCCTATTTCGACGCCACGTACCCACTCCACCCTCTGTCATCTCTCTCCCCACTTCTCTCCCCCTTGGATGACAAGCCAGGAACACTGCGCTGTGTGGCTTCCTCCCCATGGTGCTCAGCCTCTCCTTACGAGCAGGAAGGCACCAGGCAGGTTCCTCGGAAGCCCCTGGCCGCTTGCGGTGGGTGCCCGGGCGGGCTGCTGGCGGTATGGAGGTGTGTTGTGTTGGGGACAAACAGTCTTAGGCTAGTTTCGGGGTTTTGCGGGGGTGTCTTCTCACCTACGTACTCAGAACTTGTGAAAATGGGACTAGCCCGAGGAGGGGTGGGCTCAGTACATTGCAAGCCTGCGTTCCATACAGGGAAGGGGAGAGAGGCCTGGGGCCGCCTGGCTCCAGGGAGATGAGCCGGTGGCGGCCCCACATCCGCCATGGCTTTGATTGTCGGTTTGTGGTGCGTTTGTTTTTTCCCATCTACAGAGGAAGCCTGAGGAGTTCCTCCAGGTGGGTGGCTCCTGGTGCAGGGATTCTGCGGGGGCGGCAGGCAAGGCAGCAGGTGTTGCCTGGGATCTGGATTTCTTGCAGCGCCTCTGTGGGGCCCTCCCCCAGGTCTCTCCCCCTTGTCATCCACTCGAGGCAAGTCTTGAAGAAGGGAAACTGAGTCACCCACGCAGGTGGGGGCAGCCACCGGATCTCTCAGAGTGGCTACATTTCTCCATCTGGCTCACAGCTGGCAACGCGTGGATCCGAGGCGGGGTGGAGCGAGGTGCTTCCGAGAGGTAAAGCTGCCGAGATGAGCCCTTCTCTGTGCCAGCTGCTGGCGGGGCAGGTGCAGGACGAGAGAAGCCCATTTGTTGCCAACACTCATGCCTGGGACATCCTCACTGAGTGGGCAGATGGCAAGTGGGGAGGAAGTGAGAGGAGGCGGCGGCCTCATTCCATTGGTGGCGGAGAAAGGATTGAGTACCCCTGTGTGCCAGGCACTGTGCTGGGCCCCAGTGACCCTGGGAAGGGCAAGGTGCTGACTCTGACCATTTACCTTGATGAGATTTAGGGCTGGTGGCAGCAAAGACCTTCCTTCGAGGACTGTCTGGTCTTAGGCTTTGGGCTTTCAGGTGTGGGGAGGCGGGGGGCCAGGGCACTGTGCCCACTCAGATGGCCACAAGTGTTTTGGGGGCTGGCTTTGTTAGGATGTGGGGGCAGTCATCCCACCCACAGGGTGCCCTGTGCCCTCAGTGCCCCCACATTCTCTCCTGGCACAGGCCGGGCATTTCAGTGACAAGGGGTGGGAGGGGACAGTGACAATGATCTCGAAGAGCCAGGCCCTGGCCAGGGTCTCTAGCAGGTACCAGAAGCAGGAGCTGTCCCAGGCAGGGGTCTCCAGGGGAGACGTGGAGAAAAGATGAGGCTTTGGCCCTGCGCGGTGGCTCACACCTGTAATCCTAGCACTTTGGGAGGCTGAGGCGGGCGGATCACCTGAGGCTGGGAGTTCGAGACCAGTCTGACTGACATGGAGAAACCCTGTCTCTACTAAAAATACAAAATTAGCCGGGGTGGTGGCATGTGCCTGTAATCCCAGCTACTCAGGAGGCTGAGGCAGGAGAATCGCTTGAACCCGGGAGGCAGGTGTTGTGGTGAGCCGAGAGTGCACCACTGCACTCCAGCCTGGGCAACAAGAGCAAAACTCCCATCTAAAAAAAAAAAAAAAAAAAAGACTAGGCTTTGCTCTGTGGCTTTGGGGGTCTCCAGGCACACCTGCACATCTATTTATGGTGAGAAAGGGGGCCTGACCCCCTCTTTTGGAATTTCCAAAACCAGGGAGAACCCACAGATTAAAAATGCCGAGGGAGGGGGAAGAGCAAAGAAAGGGGATGGAGAGCAAAAAGAATCTGTGAGTTTTTAAAAAGAAGCAAATATGGGTATTTCAGGCACCTACTTAGAACATTTCAAAAGAAACGGTAAATGCTTAAAACCACAGAGTGAAAAGTGCCCCAGGCGCCTTCCACCGGCGGTGATGGATGGATGGATACAGTGGCAGCAGCAGCATAGAGTGTGTTGGACTGCACGGGAGGCAGTCCTGGCTTAAGAGACAGGCCCAGGATGCAGTCCGGGCTTTGGAGCCGCAGGGCCCGGGAGGTGCTCTCCGTCAGCCCCTCCGGCGAGCCACAGGTGCTGAGTTTAGACTCTGGAAAGTGGGTGGCGCACATCTGTACTTTCTTGGTGCCTCTTGGACACTGAGTATAGGTATTTTGCAGCCTCTCTGCTGGCACAAGCGGCTTCTTGGTGGGGCTGGATGGTCTGGCTACAGGACTGCCCTGACTTGGGGTTTTCAGGGGATTCCAGTGACTTTGAGCAACACAGTGAACATCTCTTGATATCTGCTCCCTTTCAGTGTCCTGGGGGATGAGAAAGCAAGGGTGGGAACCAGGATCTTCTAGTCAAAGCACCAGACCTTGGGAGGAAAGTATCTGCCAGGTCCCCATCTAGCGCTTGAATGCTCCCAGTGATGGAGAGCTCACTGCCTGCTTCCTTTGCTGGGCTAGAGTTTCTCTTCCCTGACCTTCAGTTTTCCCTTTGCCCACTCCCCTTTTACTGGCCACAAGGAGTGGACTGGAGACAGACCCACCCAGAAAGGAAAGTAGAAACAGAAAGGAAGTAGAAAAGCCCATGACTCTAGAGTCTACTCTCTAAGGACTGGATGGGCCACTTGTCGCAGAGGCCTGAGCCCCTTTCCCTAGGGCAGTGCTGGAGCCTCAAGCCTGAGTACTCTGACCCATTCGGTGTTGGTCTTCAGAGACCCTGGCTCCCCAGAGAGCCAAGCCAGGGCAGGTGCCCCCTACCTCGCACCCACCTCCCCCCCCCGGCCCCCGCCACCCATCGAGGCCCAGGAAGTCCCTGCTGTGCAGATAGCCACTTGGGGCAGGTTCATAAACCACGAAAAGTCCCCCTTTCCCTTCACCTCCAAGGAGTTTAACCTCTCCTAATCAATTTAGCAGACTCCCTTGGTTGTAAACGGTAACGATTTGCATTTTTGAGCCTTTTTATCCCTCCTTAAGGAAAAAACATGCCTCCTCTCTGCACTCAGGAAGGCCGATGCACGGCTGCGAATCGCTTGTGAGTGCTCGCCCTGGCGCCCACCCAGGGGCAGGCAGCAGCCGCTGTCACCTGCGCCTATCGAGTATGAGGAGGCACGCGGATGCTCGCCACTGATCCTGGCTGTGTCCTGGCCCTGAAAGCAGGGTCTGGCCCTTGGGGGCACAGTTCCCTGCGCCCGGCCCCTCCTGCCAGCACCGCCCCTGCTCTCCCCATTGCCCTCCCCGCCCCTTCACTCTCTGCCACATCCAATTCTCCTTGTTGTATTTTTCATAAGTGCGAGGCTCAGAAGCCCCTGCCTCCTCCCTGGCACGTTCAGCAGGAAGCAGGTTTCTGAAGTGGGCCGGCTTTGGGACTTGAGCTGCCATTTTCAAGGGGGAGGGTCTGCTCTTTCTCCTCCTCTCCTGGCTCCTTGGCTCCAGGGCTGGAGGTGAAGGAGGGAGGCACAGGTTTGGAGGCAGACTTGGGTCCCGGCCTGTCCTCTGCTCAGGCCCTGACCAGCCCCTCCCACCCTTCAGGGATCCCTCACCTGACTTGGGCCAGCTAGGACCTTTCAGCGCCAGCACTGGGGAGGGGCCCCCACTCGGCCTCTGGAGCACCAGTTTCCTGAGTGACGTTGGACCCCGCCCTAGCACACCCCCACTTTACTGAAAGGGAAACAGAGGCCGTATTCTCACCGAACCGTCTTTCCCTGCACCTCTTGGAAAATATCTCCCTGACCGCCTCCTCGGCTCTCTGCCTGGCTTTGTTCGGACAGGGCTGGGCTGGGCTCAGAGGGAGGGTTTCCTGGACCCCCAGGGGAAGGAGGAGACCCCGTGCCTGCATAGAGGGAGGGAGAAGAGGCACAAGGCAGGTGTGGGCTTTGGGCTTTGGGAGTGTCAGCTTGGGCCCCTCCCAGCTGCTGCCGTCTTCCCAGGTGCTATCCCCTCCCCTGCCAGAGTCACCCAGAGCCAGGAAGGTGCAATGCCCCAGCTCTTGGCTCCAGACCTGCATCCCGGCCCTGGGTCAGGGAGACCCCTGGCTGCCTCATGTACCATGTTAGCATGGAGGTGGTCTAGCAAGCCCCAGCCTATTTAAAGAAGATGGAGGCTGTGGCGGGAGGCCGTGGGGAGGGGGAAGGAGAAAAGGGAAGAAAAGCAGCTTTTGATGCACATCATGTCTGTGGAATTGAGTATGACTAATTAATAGATTTTATTTTTAGTAATCTCTTAAGCATTCCATACGTTGGGCCCCACGCCTGAGCTGAGCTTACAAGAGGCCTCATTCGCAAAATGCAAATGATTCCCGGCCTGCTGGTGCCTTCTCTCTCTCCTTCCTTGCCTTTTCTTTCCTTTCCTTTCCTTTTTTTTTTTTTCTTTTAAGGGGAAATTTAAAGGAAAATTGCCATGTAATAGAAAAGACATTCCAATCACTACATCTAATTACCACGAAGGGTAAACCACTTAACCAAAGAAGTGTCGTGGGCTTTTTTTTATCTTTAACTTTAAACCTGCCTTAAATGCCACAAAACGTACTCATCAGTGCTGAGGCCACTGAGGTTGTTCTGGTTACTTAGAGGCTGTGAGGGTCAGCCCGGCCGAGGACGTTCCCTTGGAAATGTCGGCTGTGCACGGGAGCCCGGGAGAATTTAGACAGGCCCCGGGGAAGGCAGGGTGTCCTGAAACATCTCCTATCTTGTGGTGTGAGACCAGCTGGGAAGAGCTGGGCCAAGAGGGGATGGGGTTTCAGAACGGACCTAGCTTCTGGCCCCCTCCCTGGCTGAGGGGGCTGTGATACAGCAGATATTTGGGGGCTTGCTCTGGGAAAGCCCAGAAAGGACCCTGGGAAGGTGTCAGGATTGCTGAGGGGCAGAAAAGATGAGAAAGTCAGCTCTAGAGCTGGGTCCCAGGGCCCTGACTGGGTGGAGCTTCCACCTTCATCCGCACTTAGAGCTCGGGGGGCGGGTGATCCCTGCAATGAGGCAGGCAGGGTCTGGTAAGAGGGGTCGAGCCCCGCACTTGCCCAGTTAGTGCAAGAACCAGGAGCAGGAGACTCGTGTGGTCCTGGGGCCCAAGGAGCTCCTCTGGGGCAGCTGCCAGGGATCCTGCCTGCCTGGGCCCACTCTGTGCAATGCGGGGGAGGAAGGCTCATCACCTAGGCCTTGTCTGGGAGGGCGTGGCTGGGCACAGGCTGGCTCCCAGCTCTGCCTGCTCTCTAGCACTAAGTCCCCCGCACTCCTGCCCCAGCCAAGCGGGACCTTCCCAGGCAGCTGTCAGTCCAGGCCACCTACTGTCCCCAGATGCCTTCCTAAACACTAAGGGCATGACCTGACCTGTCTAGGGTAAGGAGAGGAGACAAGGGGACCTAGGTGAGGTGGGGACAGTGTGCTGGCAGCACCGTGTTGCAGATGGGTGGCACTTGGGGGAAGGCAGTGATCAGAGTGGTGCCCTTCAGGGAGGGGGGGCTCATTTTAGAATCAGCAGAGACCTGGGACTTCTGTCCCCCATGCCAACATGGCACACCTCGGGCACTCTCTCCTCCCAGACAACCCAGGTGGGCCCTTCTGCTCGTCTCAGGGCGGGGGGGGGCCGTGGTCCACAGGGAGGGCCTCCTTTTTTTTTTTTTTTTTTTTGAGACGGAGTCTGGCTCTGTCGCCCAGGCTGGAGTACAGTGGCCAGATCTCAGCTCACTGCAAGCTCCGCCTCCCGGGTTTTTTACGCCATTCTCCTGCCTCAGCCTCCCGAGTAGCTGGGACTACAGGTGCCCGCCACGTCGCCCGGCTAGTTTTTTGTATTTTTTTTAGTAGAGACAGGGTTTCAACGTGTTAGCCAGGATGGTCTCGATCTCCTGACCTCGTGATCCGCCCATCTCGGCCTCCCAAAGTGCTGGGATTACAGGCTTGAGGCACCGCGCCCAGCCTTTTTTTTTTTTTTTGAGATGGAGTCTCACTCTTTGCCCAGGCTAGAATGCAGTGGCACAATCTCGGCTCACTGCAGCCTCTGCCTCCCTGGTTCAAGTGATTCTTCTGCCTCAGCCTCCCGAGTAGCTGGGTAACAGGCGCCCGCCACCACGCCCGGCTAATTTTTCAATTTTTAGAGAGACGGGCTTTCACCATGTTGGCCAGGCTGGTCTCAAACTCCTGACATCAGAAGATTGCCTTGGCCTCCCAAAGTGCTGGGATTACAGGCGTGAGCCACCACGCCCGGCCTGGGGCTTTTACACAGACCTGACATTAAGGCCTGGGGAAGTTTCTCTCTTGACCTTATTGTGTGAGAAAATGATTCAGGCAGGAAAAGGAAAAACACGTCTAGTTTCGAGTGAAAGGTGCCCACGCTGCTTGGCTGTTCCCCAGGGCTGAGGAGTGGACCTTTTCTGTGGGCTAGCTCCCCCGGGGCCGTGCTGGGAACCTGCGCCCGTCCTTCAACTTTCCACGTGGCTGTTGTGTCCGCTCCTTTCAGCCTCATCTCCTCACTGAAGGCGCTGGTCGGGCCTTTTAACGTAACCCCTGCCCTGCTGCTGCTTCTGCCTTTGCTTTCGCACGGCGGCGGAGGCTGTTTGAAAAGAGCACCACCAGGCGCTCCTAGCCCTCTCATCCTCCTGCCCTCGGACCAGCATCTCCTCTTTGACGTTCCTTTTCCTCGGCGCAGAACAAGCAGCACAGTGACAGATGGTGACCCGGGCTCCCCGAGTACTGGGACGCAGGCTCCACTCTTCCCCCCTCTCCGATTCGCTGTCATTATTTCATCATCGTTTTAATCTCATGGCTCACCACACTGCACTGTCAGTTGATAAATGAATGATAGCGACATGGATTCCAGAGAGAGGAAATAAAATCTTAACTCTTCTGAGGGCCCCAGCCAGGGCCCTTTTGGAGGCTGGCATTTTTAGAAAGAGATCTGGCCTCTCCCTCTCAAGAAACAGAGTCCCAGGGGTGGGCCCAGCTGAGTTTTCTACGTTCAGGGAGGGACTGCCGTCACCCAGGGCTTTTTTGAGAATTTTTGTGTCTCTTTCTGGGCTTTGTTTGAGCAGCCATGGAAACCAATAGGTCTAATCAGCTGATATTTAAAAAAAAAAAAAAAAAAAAAAAATCCCTGCGCTAATTACCCGTCCTAGGAGGGAACATTCAGCACATGGTAAATGCTCCGAAAGTAGCTGTTAAGGTGATTGCACGTGGTGGGGGAGGGAGATGAGGACACTGGAATCAAATAAAGCTTTTATCTAGATCAGAAAGGAGAGCAGCCCAGCGCTGGCCAAGCTGAGCTAGGGTGGAACTAGAAGCCCCTGCTGCGATGCCTCCCTAAGCCACCCGTCTGAGACATACACGCCTCAGCCTTTAGGAACAGCAGTAGCCCCCAGAGACCAAGTCTCTTCCCCCACCTTACTCCCATCCCCAACACACCGTCTACTTACTCAATGATCTCTAGGAGAAAGCAACACTTTCGCAATTCTATTGTCTCAGGAAATGGTAAGAACTGACCCAAGGAGAACGGTAAGGACCGTGCATGTGGCTCTGTCTACCCATCTGTACTTAGAGACACTGCGACAGGGATAGACAGGCAGACAGATGCACCTCCAGGTGGCGGGGAAAGCTACGGCTTCCGCCGGGGCTTCTACAGGAGAGCGTGGTGCATGGAACTGAAGAGGGCTTCAGCCTAGGGAAAAACAAGTTTGTTTGTTTTTTAATCAACTACATGATTGTTCAAAGAATGCAGTGAAAGACGCCATGTTTCTGCAAATCTGCAAGGGAAATGGTATGGAATGAGCCAGGGGAGAGATTTCAGGTCCGTATCTCCAGGGCAAAAGATCTTTTCTTCCCTCTCTCCTTTGTGAGGAGCCTGAAAACCTTCCATCGCGTTGCCAGCGAGTGGCCAGCAGCGGGAGAGCTGCGTGGGAGCTTTGAGAGCCGGCTGCTTCTCCCTGGCGGTTCCTTTGTGACGGCCCTGAACAGAGCATGAGGTGTCCACAGATGTTGTACAGGTAGTATCCTTCCAGTTCAGGGAAAAAAAAAAAACAACAAAAAACCCAACCCAGCCCTTCCTGTGATATTATTTTTAGTCCTTCCCTCCCCAACTGGTATAACTCGGTATAAATTATGTCTTCAACAATGTCGAATTCCCCCTCCTGCCTTCTATTCTTTAAAAAAAAATTGTCACGGTTGTGTTCTACAAAATCGTCAGCCCTCCCCAAACTTTGCTTTCTGCGGGGGAAAGTCATCCGTGGAATTTCTCTTCCTTGCTCTCTCGGGTTGCAGCAGGCTGGGCAAAGCCACGTGGCCACGCCAGGGCAGCTGGGGCTGGGGCGAGGCAGCCCAGGTGGGCGGGCATCATGTGTAGGAGTAGTCTATGTCGGGGATGCCGCCGTCCCGGTAGCCCCGCGTGGTGCCGTAGCCAATGGTGTGCGTGGCCTTGCAGAGGCTGCTGCCGTTGGAGGGGAAGATGGTGTGGACCACGTACTCCTCTTTGGCGCGGTACGGGTTGATGGGCAGCATCTGCAGGCCGGGCCCACGGATTTCCAGGATGGAGTTGTCCTTCTTGGTCCCCGACTCCATATAGTCATCCTTTTTCCTGCTGCCCCGGTTGTAGGCCCTCTCCCGGGTCAGCAGTTCGCCCGCTTGGTGCACGTACCAGCAGACGGCCCCCAGGACCAGGAAGAGGAAGACCAGAGCCACGGCCCCACCGATGATGCCCGCCAGGGGCAGGCCCGCCATGGGGCCGGCATTCTGCTCCTGGTTGAGCGTGGTGGTAGGGCCGTAGCTGTCGGCCGTCTCTGCCTTGGCACACACGGGTGTCTCGTCAGCTACATAGGCATTACTGGTCTCCATGGTGACCATGCAGATGATGTAGGTGGACTTGGGCTCCAGGGCCGTCAGCAGGTACTCTGTCTTGTCCCCCTGCACCAAGGTCTCTGTGATGGAGCCCACGGCCGGGCTGTGGCCCAGGCGCAGCCAGCTGAGCCGGAAGGAGGAGGCGGGGAGCGTGGCCTTCCACGTGATGCGGATAGAATCTGCTGTCAGGGCCTTCACGTGGATGGCCAGGGTCTTGGCACCATCGCCCGTCGCCATAGGGTAGTCAATGTTGGAGTCGGGGATGCGTAGCCCCGGCCTTTTGGCCTTGAGGGTAAACAGGGAACCCTGGGGCGTGGTGGCGGAGGCGTGGTTGCTGGCCGTGGTCTTGGCAGCCGCGTTGGCCACGCCACCCTGTGACCCCGTCTCAAAACACTCGTCCATCTCGCTAGTGATGTCCTTGATGGCCATGCCTCGGACCTTCTCAGGGCCCTGGCACATGAGGCCCCGCACGTTGACCACGGCCGCCCGTGCCTTCACCCAGTCCCGCAGCCACATGAGGTTGCAGCCACAGAACCAGGGGTTGTTCCTGAGCAACAGCTGGGCCAGGTTCCCCAGGTCGTCGAACAGGCCACGGGGCAGCGTGGTCAGGTTGTTGTTGGACAGGTCCAGCCGCTCCAGCTCACGCATCTTGGCCAGCGTGTTGTAGGGGATGTGGCTGATGGCGTTGTCCTGCAGGTAGAGCTTCTGCAGGTGGGCGCTGGGCAGGTTGAGGGGTGGTGCGGCCAGCGAGTTGCGCACCAGCGAGAGCTCTGTGAGGTTCTGTAGGCGGCTGAAGGTATCGTCCGCGATGCGCTGGTTGGCCAGCAGGTTACCGTCCAGCACCAGGCGCCGCAGGCTGTTGAGGCCCTTGAAGGCATGCAGCGGGATGGTGGAGATGCGGTTGTCGTCCAGTCGCAGCTCCTCCAGCGTGTGTGGCAGCCCCGAGGGGATGCTGCTCAGGTGGTTCCGGCTCAGGAAGAGCAGCTTGAGCTGTTTGCTGTCGGCGAAGGCGTCCTCCTCAATGCTGACGGTGGACACAGAATTGTCATCCAGGTGCAGCTTCTCCAGCAGCGGGATGCGGGCCAGCGAGTCCCTGGCGATGGTGCGCACGTTGTTGTCCTGCAGGTGCAGCTCCCGGAGGGAGCGGGGCAGGTTGATGGGGAACTCGTCCAGGTCATTCTCGTACAGGTAGATGACCTGCACGTTGACCTTGGTCTTGAGGTCCTGGGGGATGCCGGCGTTGTTGATCTGGTTGTTCTGCAGGTAGAGGGTGGTGGCGTCATCAGGGATGTCTGCAGGGATGGAGGTGAGTCCCCGGTCGTTGCAGTAGATGAAGCCGTTGTCACAGCGGCACACCGAGGGGCAGGTGGTGCTGTCGATGACCTCCGTCAGGAAGGCGATGAGCCCGTAGCAGAGGAACAGCCAGTCCCGCAGGTCCATGGTGGACGTGGTCATCACGACAGTGGCCGTGACAGTGGCAGTGGTTGTGGTGGTGGTGGTGGCGGTGGGGTGTGCCACCACCATGGTGGATGGCTGGGGGTGTCCGGCCCCACCTGGCCTGGAGCCTGAATACCTGCAAGGAGCACAGGGCGGGGTCAGTGAGAGGGAGGAGGCGACAGTGACCCCAGGAACGAATCGTGCACCCCTCCCGCCTGCCAGCCTGCACAAGGGGTGGCCGAAGTCACCCAGGAGCGAATCGTGCACCCCTCCTGCCTGCCAGCCTGCACCAAGGGGTGGCCGAAGTCAGGTCCTGCAGGGTGCGGTCAAGCTGGAGGAGCGGCCTTTGTGCCAGGTTTATGCCACAGGTGATTGCTCCCGCCAAGGTCGGATTCTAACAACATCTGGCTAACGTTAAATCGTATCGGGAGACGTTAAATCGTATCGGGAGCCAAGAGGTTGCCCATTAATGAGACGCACGCTGCCACAGCCCTCCTGAAATGTGATCCGGAGCCTCGGGGAGGTTAATTTAGTGAGAACCATGCAGCAGGTTTGGTTTCTTCTCTCAAGACTTCACACAAAGCCAGTCTTTATGACCGATGCTAAAGGTACCAGTCAATATGGATGGGATGGATTTAGGGCGTGTTTTATGGATTCACAGCCGCTGTTTCCCTGGCACCGCACGAGGAGCAGGCATTGCTATCTGGCTCGGACCCAGGGTTCAAAAGGAAAGCTTGTTTCTGGAAGGCCCAGGAGCTCAAAAGGGGGGCGTCGCCAGAACCTGCGAGAACGAAGCTGTCAGTGCCATCACTGGCGAGGAGTGCAGAGCAGGGAGCTTCATTGTCTGGTGTTAAAACAACATGTCCTGTTGTCACTCGTACATTCTACAGACAGAAGAATGAGGTGTCAACAGAATCACTTTCTCATGTATTTACAGAAATCTCTTTTCATCAGATGTGCCTCCCTGGCCCTGGGTTTCGAGTTGTGTGGGAAATTGTCCCACACCTTGCCCCTTTCTCAAATTATAAACAGACCGTTTTTTTTGGTTTTTTTTTTCCTGGAATAGCTGAAAGTTTAAAGGAATGAGACAAATAAAAGGAGGGAGGCATTTGTACTCTGAGGGAATTGGCTGCAAGGTGTAATTTCAGTTTTCACAAATGGAAAAATTGCAGCATAGATTTTTCTTATATTATTTTACTGTTCATAGTGGTAAAAAAATCAATTAAAGAGAAATTATCTTTCAGTCTCAGTGAGGAAGGTGTCTTCATGCAGCCAGCAAAAGTCTGCTGTAAAACGCTGGGTTCACGGAGGCTTTTCAATGATGGGACAAGATGGTCTCTCAGAGCCTGAAGCCCCAGCCTGGGAGGGCAGCCCTGGTGTACACAGCAGAGCCGGCACCTGCCCACTGAGCCAGCAAGGACCTTACTTCCATGCCCCAGGGACTGAACACCTGTTTCTCAACCAGGCAAAACTTTCTGTCTTCTCTGTCCTTCTCTATTCCTGGCTGCTTTTTCTTTCCATCACGCAAGTTACTCTTGCAGGACCCAGCTCAAATGTTACCTCCTCTACTAGGTTTTCCTGGGGCCCCAGATAAAGCTTCCCTCTGTTCTGCCCATCCATCTGTCCACCCACCCATCCACCTACCATCCATTCATCCATCTGTCCATCATTCATCCATCCATCCATCCATCCACCCACCTAACCATCCATCCATCCATGCATCCATGCATCCACCTGTCATCCATCCATCCATCCATCCATTCTGGCATGCACCTGTCCATCCATCCATCCATGCATCTACCTGTCCATCCATCCATCCATGCATCCACCTGTCCATCTATCCATCCATGCACCCACCTGTCCATCCATCCATCCATCCATCCATCCATCCATCCATCCATCCATCCATCCATCATGCATCCAACAGAGCTTTATTGAGAATCTACTATATTCCAGGCCCTGTTGTAGCCACTTGGGGATTCCTTTCTGATGGGATGGATGGTAGCTCAAACTATAATAAAGACTTTGCTGAGAACTTTCCTAATATTTAAGTCATTTAACCCTCCCAGCAAACATGAGGTCAGTGCCCTTAATCCCACTGAGCAGATGAGAAAACTGAAGCTCAGAGATGTTAACTTACTCAAGACTACTTGAGAACCAGGTAGGAGGAACCTAGGCCATCTGGGGAGGAGGCCAGAATCTTGGCAATCTTGAGGCTGGAGCACTCTGTGGGTTGCAGGTCACACTGTTTGGTGACTGGTGTTTTCATGTCACCAAACTGCAAGGGCAGGGACTGTGGCCAAGTGTGGCTTTACATCAGTGGCCACCCGACGACAGAATGGTCCCCACCATGGTGAATGCCTCTGCCACTCACCCCTGCACACTCAAAAGCTCCCTTTGCACTTACAGGGTCTCTGCCCAGACAGCCACCACAGTCATCAAGGTGGCTGCCAAGGCCCTATGCAATCCTGTGTGGCACCCCCGTTGGCCTTGTCCACTCCATTCCCCTCTCACTGACTGCAGCAGCCAGGCAACCCCTGGTATCCCCAGGGCCCTGGCACATGCTGTGCTGTCTGCCCAGACAGCTCATCCCCAGATCCATGCCTCCATCTCCTTCTGGTGAGGCCTTTCCTGGGCACCCTATCAAGAATTATAACTCCCAGATACTCCTCTCGGTTCCTTGCTTACCTATAGTATTTACCACCAACTAACACACTACATGTTTTATCTTTTTTGTTTTGTTTTGTCTTGTTTTGTGTTTTGAGATGGAGTCTCGCTCTGTCACCAGGTGTGAGTGCCATGGAGCCATCTTGGGTCACTACAACCTCCGCCTCCCGGGTTCAAGTGATCCTCCTGCTTCAGCCTCCTGAGTAGCTGGCACTACAGGTGCCCACCACCACGCCTAGCTAATTTTTTGTATTTTTAGTAGAGACGGGGTCTCACCATGTTGGCCAGGATGGTCTTGGTCTCTTGACCTCGTGATCCACCTCCCTGGGCCTCTCAAAGTGCTGGGATTACAGGTGTGAGCCATCGCTCCCGGCCCTTTTTTGTTTTCATTGTCTGTCTCCCCACTAGAAGGTACTCGCTATAAGGGCAGGGATTCGTGCATCTTACTCATGGTGTTTCCCACGTGGCAGATGCTCACTAAAGATTTCAAAGGAGAAACTGTGATGGACTTGTTCTGTAGATGAGGGAACGGGGGCACAGAGACCTGCCCATGGTCCCCTGGCAGGAGGAGGTGGGGTCTGGATTCCACCCCAGGGCTGTGTGGCTGCAGGACCCCAGTGCTTGACTCCAGATTGCTGAGGGCTGTGAGTCCCTGGCCAGCCCAGACACAGTCCTGCGGCCCAGGCTGAGCATTCTCAGACCTTCACGGAGGTACCCACTCTCCCGTGAGCCTCCTGCTTCCTTTGCCCAGGGCCATCCCAGGTTGCCCTGGCCCTTATCTGACCACCTTACCTTTCATTACATCGGGCACTGGGAAGGACACTGGCCCAGATCGTGGGAGAGGACGGGCTTGGAGGCCAGGACAGCATGCAGAGCTAGACACATCAGCCTCCAGAGGATAATGAAAAGCCTAGGCGGTGGGGTGACTTCTCTGGCCAGACCTCACCCACTCCCCTTCACAGGCAAGGGTGCAGAGGTTGCCACCTACACACAGGTCCACAGCCCTCATTTCACAGCCCAGCAGCCTGAGACTCAGAGACAAGAGGGGCCCAGCCAAGGTCACAGTCAGCCCAGATTTCCCACTGCACGTCTGTCCCTTCTGCACCGAGCCAGGCCCATGAAGGTTATGGAGCCGGAGGTCCTGCCTCAAGTCACTTATGAGCAGGCAGGTAGCACAGGGCAGGTGCTAGAGACAGGAAGACACAGGCCTGCTCACAGGTCACCTTGCCTCCGTCTCCAGGGTCAAGTCTGAGTCTAGGAGCACCTCTGCCAGGGGCCCCCCAGCATCTGGCTGGAGGATTACCCCCCTCCCTGGTCTGTTGGCTGATGACTCCTGGCACAAGGGATACAGGTGGCCTTTGTACTCGGCTGTTCCTGAGCAGTGCCCTAAGTAGGGGGCAAACTTGTAAGGCAAAAGCCAAGGCAAACCACCGCATTCCCTGGCATGGACATCTGTTCCCAGTGCCCGCTCAGCTCATGGCCACGGTCCTCAGCCTCCAGAGGCCTCAGCATCATAATAGAGTCTAAATTGCACCTTTCAGAGATGCTTGATAGATAACCAAGAAGCATTTGGGAGGCAGGGACCCAAGGCCTTTCCGCTCCACTGTCTGTGGGCCTCATCCATCTTGGCCAGAGGCTCCCCTGCCACCCCCCGCCCCCCAAGGCCAGCCCGAGGCTGAGCCCTCTGGCTACAGGAAAATAGGGCGGGGCCTAGGGGTGGCGAGGAAGATGGCACACCTCACCAGAGGAGTCTTTAATTGCCTGGGTGCCTGGCTGCCTTTTTATTCCCTTGTTGTGTGTTTCATAGTTTATGCGGCCATCAAATTAAACTGGTAAATCGCCTGTCTTTTATGGGATCGCTTGTCGTCCTTGCGTGGATCCCTCAGACTTCAGCGTCGTATGAGTTACGACCTGCCAGCTCCATGACTGACAGCCAGATCCTTGGCAGGCCACAGGGGTGGGGGAGGGGAGCAGTGGGATGGCTCCGGCTGTAGGTATCCAGGACTCCCCCCGCTTAGCTGGGGGCCCTGGGGCATTATTCTTGGCATTATTCTTGGCTCTATCAGTCCTTGGCCCCTGCCAGCCTCCAGGACAGAGAGGCCTGGGTTCAAGTCCTGCCTCTGCCACTTTCAGGTCATGTGATTTCTTTTTTGAGACAGGGTCTCACTCTGTCACCCAATCTGGAATGCAGTGGCTCGATCATGGCTCACTGCAGCCTCGACCTCCCTGGGCTCAGGTGATGCTCCCACCTCAGCCTCCTGTGGAGCTGGGACCACAGGCGTGCACCACCACATCTAGCTAATTTTTGTATTTTTTGCAGAGATGGGGTTTTGCTATGTTGCCCAGGCTGGGCTTGAACTCCTAGGTTCAAGCAATCCGCCCACTTCAGCCTCCCAAAGTGCTGAGATTATAGGCATGAGCCACCACGCTGGGCCTCAGGCTATGTGATTTTGAGCAAGCTGCTTGCCCTCTCTGAGCCTCGATTTCCTCATCTATAAATGTGGTCATAATAGGGGCCCTTACATGGGAACTTACAATTCAGGGTTCGCTGACATTTTATGTGCAGAGTACCCCCTCCTGAGTGCGATCTGGATGGCCCTGACGCATCCAGTTTAAAAGCTGCCACAAATCTCTGCCTCCCCAGACACGCGGCCTAGCTTCTGCAGTAGCTGCTTGTCTCTGTCCTCCATGCTCCAGTGGCCCGTTCTCTACTCCCCTGCTCCTGGCTGCGCCTTCGGGACAGGCTGACCCCTTATCAGCCTCTGTGAAGTTGAGATGTTGCCCCCCTGTCCACCTCAAACTGTGTGGGTGCAATCCTGCGCCTCCCCCAAGCCATGCTGGCAGCCTTGACCCTATGTCTGGGCCGCACAGAGCTGGTGGATGGGGCCATCAACCGTCCCCTCCTATGGGGCCGTGTCAGCCTCCTATGGGAGGCCCTCCAAGCTGGTGGCAGGGTGGAGGGGTTGGGAGAGGTAAGAGGGTTTTAAATGGGCCTTTGTCATCAGGTCACCTAGTGGCCAGAAATAGTTTCTTACCTCCTCCACGCCACACTCACTCCTACCCCTGAGAAGTCCTGAGGCTTCTCTCCCTTCCCTCTCCGCTCCCTCTGCAGCCCTCCCCAGAAGCTGCGCTCACGGTGCATTAGACCCTTTGTGGAGCTCCTGCCCAGTGTCACGAGTGGGGAGAAGACAGCAGCTTCCCAGGTTTCCCAGGTCTA